TTATTACTAGTTAACATTTCTCGGTAGACTTCCTTGTACAATTTCTTAACATGATCAATCGAAGATTCCTCATTTTCACTTAGTTGAGCTTCTTGAGGTGACAGGAACAAGATGCAACCCATGTTTTGGTTTATAAACATAGGTAGCTTCAAATGTAGTGTTTTGGAAGGTATGGTTAAATGAATTGTTATAAGTTTACCTGTGTCAAGATCTCAAGCCAGGTCATCACATGATCCTGAACAATACAAACTAGCATTGGAGGTTCCTATTTGAAACTTCGGTTTGTTCCTCTGTTTATAGGATACAGGTGCTGGAATATTTGAGTTTCCTGCTAAACCTTCTAAGACGTTGCCAAAAGTGTCCCATGAACTTAGCATCTCAAACCAAAATAATAGGTGGAAATCCACGTAGACAAACTATTTCCTAAAATCCTTGTGATGGAGATTATATTCCTAAGAATGTGTCGAAGTAATCCCCAGCAATTATTTTGACTAGTCTGTTCACTTAGAATGTCTTGAACTTCACCATACCCTTTAGATTTGCTGCTCGGTTGTGCCCGACTATTGATTGTCTTGCACCATACCACATACCCTCTTTTCTACCGTCCACATTGATCTTCTAGATTGAAAAATCAAACTCGATCTTATGTCTAGTTAAATGGTCAAGACTGATAAGATGAAGAGATATCATCTGCTCGTTACCCTCGTTTGTACCAATTTAATTCAGTGCATCTCTTACCTGAACATATACATCTGCCCTGTCGTATGAAATCTATATTCTCTGCACACAAAAGTTGCTGTGAATGTTTGGCTTTCTGCGCTCCCTGGTCCAAATTTTGGTTTGCCTTGTTGAGTCCACTGCTTTTTAGTGTCCAAATTCTCTGCACACAAAAGTCGCTTTGAATGCTTGGTTCAAATTTATTCCACCAAGTGTAGCTCCTCTTAACTTTATCTTCATGATTGGCTTTCCACTCGAAATAATTTTTTTGAAATTGCCTCCCTATGGAGAACTTATTAACTATTTATGGTTCCTCCACTTAAATCAATAGCCAAAATAATTCTCGCTTCCAACCCACGATGAAGTTCAGGTTCTCGAGGTGCCTTTGCATGGAAAGGACTTAACTCCTCTTCAAGATTAGTCTCTTCTCTTTTCTATCCATCTTTCTGTTTTATTCCCACAATGACCACAAGTTGCCATCTGCAAGGATCGAGCTTGCTCTGATGCTAAATTAGATAAACATGTATATATTTGTCGAGTGGGGACGAGAGAATTTTTTTGTTACATTTAATTATGTCTTCGTATCCAGACAATTTTAAGTACTGTTAGAAGTAGAAGTTCGAACTTATTCAGTTTCAATTTTCAAATGCTGCAACAACCTAATATTTTATGCTTGTAGATGGAAAACTGGAGGAATTGAACAGTGATCCAGTATATTTTTCTGTACAGGTTGACCAAATCTAGAAAGGAATCCCTGAGATAATGTTGGTTGTTGTTGTCAATGGAAACTAACTCCTCTTTTCTTTTGGTTGAATCGAAATTTTGCATTTATTTAAAAAATCTGGAGCACTGACTTTGAATTGATAAATATGTTGTTAAAATTCATCAGATAGACAACAACAGGAGACAACGCCACTGTAGCTTTCCAATATTTACTGGAGTAAAGCCATCTCACAGTCTGTCTTACCCAAGAGTTCCATCAAATAATACACGACGTCCTGTTTCTGTCAGATCAGAAGGGTCTACTACTTTGCGGAAGGCACTTGATGTGCAAGAGAGCAAGCAAGAAAACACTGTTCAAGATTTGCATCTACAAGAGAGTCGTGCAAGAGATGACTCGAGCGATGAGTCTGGTGCCGAAGATGAACACGTCGTAAGAATCGATTCACCTAGTAGACTTTCTTTTCGCTATCCTTCTTGAAGCCCTGTCCACAGTATTCTTTCATTCCCTTCCACACTAGTACGGATTTGTCCTTACCGAAAATGTTACAGCCTCTCATATGTGCACGGGGTGCGCGTGAATAAAAAAACTTCAAAAAATGTAGTCTCCACACCCTATTGTGAGTAGATAAAAGATTATGTAAAGAAATTTTGTGCATGTAACGTTGCCATTTGTTCAATTTGCTTGTAATCTATAACTCGTATATTAGGTTGCTGGGAAACTGTGCTTTTGGGTTATTTCTTCCGTTGGCCCCCTAAATTGTCAATTGGGATGATTGAAAAAAATCAGTAGGGAACGATTTTTGAGTGTATTTTGTAAATAATTATTATGTATTTTGAGGCACTTGTTACAATAAAGAAGGGTTGTGGGCAATTTGTTGTCTAGTTGCATTCTGTTTAAGCTACATTAATTGGTTTTGCTCCTTTTCTAAAGTTTACAATTTAGTCCTCAAGCTTTCAATTATTGAATCTTACTCTCCAAACTTATGATTTTATTCCTTTTTGTGTTGAAAGCGAGTTTTGTATTATTGAATTTTTGGCAAATGTATGGTTAAGATATATGAAAAAGTTTTGAGTCAAAGTGTAAAATATTTTATTGTGAAAATATGTGATTAAAAATTAGTTTGAGAAAGAAATGTATTTTTAGATAATGGAGATCAAATAGGGGCTTGGTTCTTCTAATTGATTACATGCAAATAATTTTTACCCTTGTTTGGTACACATTATTTCAAAATGCATTCTCAATCACACATTTTATAATAAAATAATATTTTTCATCACATCAATAACGTTTCCTTACTTTTTAACAACGTTTCACAGTATATCACTATTTAAAATATATTCTTTTCTCAATAATATTCATCAAATACACTCTAATTATTTTGAATCAACTTCAATTAAGTTCAAAATGTCTTTCTTATGCCAATTGCATCTAGTTGGAGTTTACCCATAATTTGCATATTTACACTAAATTAGGTAGATAATCCCTCAACTAATACATAATTAATCAAATTTAGAGGCTAAATAAAATACATTTATCACATACTATAGTTTTTAGTCTTGTCGTGCATTTGGTAGCATGAAATAAATCTATTTTTTGTAAAATAACAAAAATATTGATGAATAATTAACAAGTTTGATTATGTTTTATAGAAGCTTGCCTAGGCGGTATCTATGTTCGAAACTTGGACAAAATGCTCGCTTCGCGCCTCGATGCTTTTTTTTTTTCCCCAATTCTTAAACGGTTAAATTCTTTCTTTCCTCTTTTTTCTCTTCACTATGTGCGCTATATATTTTTTTTTTTTTCCTTTTTTAAAAGTCTTTTATTTGACTTTAATGTATTAATTTTATTTTTAAAAAAGAACTTTTCATTTGACTTTAATTTCAAGATTTTAAAAGATTTTATCTGTATAAAAGTTAAAAAAGATTTTATCTACATCGTTAAAAATGATTTAAATTATGGTACTTATCTACATTTTGTAATTATGATCTTGAGATTTGTTATTTTATTGCAAACTAAAAGCATGTGTGAAGTTTTTTATAAATCTATTAAGTAGGACTTGTCTAGTTGAAAATTGAAACTATGAACAATATTTAAATTTTTTGTATTTCAAAAACTTGAAAATTGTTTAATTGATCAATGGTAAGAATTCTTAAGTAAATATAGTATTTTATAATTTTAGATATTTGATATGTATTATTTTAATTATTAAATAATTTTAAAAATGATTAAAATTAAAAATTATATTAAAAATAAGAAAACATTTTTTTACGCCTAAATCTCGCCTAGGTTCACTTAAACTTCAAAATTTCGCCTCCACGTCTAACCACCTTTTACGTTTTTCAGGACATTGTGTTGTATTTCCTAGAGCAACAACTTTTTCATGTCTTCATCCCAATAATTAAAATTTGACATGTCAACTTGTCTCAAATATCAATTTATGATGCCCAAATAAAGTCCTTTAAATTAAAGTACCTCATTCAATTGCAATTTTGGTGAACATGGGCAACCGTCAGCATATTAATAAGCATACATGGTTTGCCACAAATGGACAAGTTAGTTTTATTGGAGTAATGCCACTCATCACTTTGATATTAATCGCCAATTTAGGGGATAATTACGTGCTATTAAATAATAAATCGTTCAAATGTAAAGTTCTATGACTCATTTAATTGAACCTATAAAATATAGTTACCTAAATGTAATAGAAACTGGTAAACATCAATTTTAATCTCTAATGCAATTATGTCACTAATAATTTACAGCAATCAAGTCACTTGACTTTAATTTGACATCGATCAAAGCACCGAATTTGGGCACCTTGAGATGATATAACATATTTAAGATTTGACGACATATTAGTTAAAATTAACAATTTTTTCACGTTTTCATCCCCATAATTACATTTTGACACACTAGCTTCATCTCGAATATCAATTTATAACGTCCAAATAAAGCGTTTTAAATGCTATTAAATTGAAGCACCGTTAGTGTGATTACATAAGTCGATGTCGATTGCCACACATTCATAAGTTAGTTTTAACCGCCATCACATGATCGTAGTGGTTTTATTGTTGTTAAGGTAATGTCCAGTAACCTAATTGTAACTAAAATAAAAATTTGGTGATTGCTTGTACAGTTAACCGTTTCATGAATGTCTATTCAATAGAGAAATTACTATGCAGTCAGCTTTCAGATTCTACTTCCGCCCCCATATAGATAGCAATTATAGAAATAAAACGTTTTGGACATGATCTATCTGAAACAAATTGTAAAGTTAAATGATGAGTTTGGAACAAAAATAAATTTGATAACCAGAATGAAAGTGGGGTGTAAGTTGAGTGAGCAATAGTGTTTCTTTAACTCACCGGTTTTGTATAGCCGTTGGGCTGTGAAGCCAACTCCAAATTTCTGCCCAATTTTGTAAACTCCGCCAACTATTATCACTATGCCCCCTTCAAATTAAATGCATAACCTTCTTCTGCGTCTTCACTGCAACCATTCCCCCTCCCTCAATCTTAATAGATCCATAGCGTCTTCCTTTTCACCCTTTTTATCGACTATGGCTTCTTTTTCATCTCTTGTGCTTCCGTCTATTTCCCTCAGAAGGAGCTCAATCTCAACTTGTAATTTGGGTTTCAGGAATGAAATTTCAAGAATTTCCCTCGAGAATTTGGATAGAGGAGGTGGGGTTTTCATGAGCGTCGCTGTTGGATCTCAAACCACTGTCGTTGACGATGCGCTCTTCAAAGATTATAAACTTTCTCATGCATTCCTCTTTCCTGGCCAGGTCATTTTTTCGTCATCTTTTTTTCTAATTTATGCCATTTTTTGCGTAATTTTAGTGTATATTTTAAAGGAATACAGTTCAATGTTGCACACTGAATTGCCAAGTTTGGGGTGGGGGTGGGTTCGAAGAGAGAGAGAGAGAGAGAGAAGATTCATTCATCTGTCTTATATTTGCTTTGCTGTATGTATTAGTGTATACTAGTTTTGAAATGTTGTTACTTTTCTACTGTGAGTTATCCTACATTAGTTGTAGTTTTAGTAAATATGTAAACGAACTTTGCTTAATTGAAGGGATTGTTGGTGATATATTACTAAAGTGTTAAAGTAATAAACAGTAATAAACAGTGTGATTCATAATTGTCTGTTTATTTACTAAAGGACTGAAGTTGGAATTCCATAAGTAAAAGGTGAAAGACTGTATAATTTCTTGATAATTTTTGAAGTTCGAATCATTCATGGGTCACAGGGCACTTACTCTGGTACCGACAAGAAAAACCGAAACCCTGATGTGCTGAATTGGCGTTGATACTTCGAGGGGGATGCAATAGCCCAAAAAAAATGTCTGCAAGGAAGATTTTGCATGAAAACCTTCAGTATGTTTGAATTTAACCTGTGTACAAGAGCCATAACAAAGCTGGGTTTGGCTTTAGAGATCGGCTATCAAACTCATACCACAGAATTTAATATCATCTGTCTTCATCTTGCAGGGTGCACAAGCTGTTGGAATGGGTGTGGAGGCTCAAAAAGTGACTGTTGCTGCTGAGTTATACAAGAGAGCAAATGATATTTTGGGGTAGATTTAATTATGAAACTTGATTTTGATGGGCTTGTGTTATGTTCTGTCATGTTCTCATTTATCCTTCTCTCGATATAAGTTTCCCAATGAATAATTAATGTTAATTTGCATCAAGGTTTGACCTTTTGGATGTTTGCATCAATGGACCAAAAGAAGAGCTTGATTCCACGGTTTTAAGCCAGGTATGCCATCATGGTTACAATATTGATATTTTCCTTGTCTATGTTGTACTCTATTCTCATCTATCCTGAAGGAAAATCAGACAAACTCTAGGAGTATATTATAATAATCAAATTATAGATTTGTATTCGTGAAGAAACTCAAGGAATAGAAACAGAAATAAAGTTATGGTTTCAGTGAAGAAAATAAGAAACTTCGCTAGTCTCATGCTGCAATGGAATCAAAGACTGGCGGTATACTGAATTCCATGTTTAGAAGCTTGTGTTTGTGACTGCTATTGGCTTCTAGATTAAGAGCAGCAGTATTGTCACTTGTAATTTCTTAAGTTGTTATTTTTAGTTGCATATAACTGGTTTGACCAAAGAGACCCCTAACCCTTCCCTAAACATATTTGAAGGTGGATCATCCTTTCGATTCGATGCGCTAATCTCTAATTCCAGGTTGTTAAGATCATTGTCCTTCCGATTTGGAATAACCTTTCATCCTCCCTATCTTTCAGTGGACTAGAAACTACGGTAGCATGTCTAACCTCTCGTTGCTCCTCCTTAGATTGGTTTACCGAGGTAGAGGCTCCATAATTAATTTCATTTCCCAAAGAAAATGGATTTTCAGAACCTGACAAATCTCCTTTCACCACTAAGTTGTCCAACGCATAGCTCCATTAACAACTTATTTTAATTATATGACTTTTAAAACGATTGATAATACCGTGCTTGATTATGTTAGAGATGCGAAATGTATTGATGATTAGAAACAAAATGGAACTGCAAAATGATTGCTTAAAAAAATATAATTAGACGAACTTCTTGCTGGATCCATTTGTGCAGCCTGCTATCTACGTCACAAGTTAAGCTGCAGTTGAAGTTCTTAGAGCTAGTGATGGAGGTCAGGCAATAATTGATACTGTGGATGTCACATGTGGTCTAAGCTTAGGGGAAGTCACAAGTTTAGCTGCAGTTGAAGTTCTTAGAGCTCGTGATGGAGGTCAGGCAATAATTGATTCTGTGGATGTCACATGTGGTCTAAGCTTAGGGGAATACACTGCTCTTGCATTTGCTGGAGCTTTCAGGTGAGCTGCCTAATTCACAAATCTCTTTTCACTTGCATCAAAAAACTTGCCTTCTAGAATGTGTCAATACTTACAAATCCCCAACCTACCCATCCTTTCCCATTCCGCTCAAGAAAAATTAATGCAGTAACAGAAACATGTGATGACTATTGAACTAGGCTTCATTTCCCATTAACTCAAGACTTGACTAGCTAAATTATTTTTTCCTTTCTGGATTTGATAATTTAGCTTTGAGGATGGGCTCAAGCTGGTCAAGCTAAGGGGTGAAGCTATGCAGGTAATTCTACCTATATTAGCTATTTCATTTGTTTATTAACGTCTGTATCACGTGACACTTCGAATTAAATCTTCTTGTTATCATCAGGACGCTGCTGATGCCACTAAAAGTGCCATGGTTAGTATCATTGGACTGGACTCTGAGAAGGTGCAACAGCTGTGTGAAGCAGCCAATCAAGAAGTGGACAAAGCAGACAAAGTTCAAATTGCAAATTTCTTATGTCCTGTAAGTTAATTATTCTGTTTCGTCTGGGAAAACAAATTATTTGGTTGTACTAATAACTTGGGGAGATATTTTTCCTGAGTTTGGCTTGATGGCGGAGTGCATCATTTTCTGGTAAGGAAATTATGCAGTCTCTGGAGGCTTGAAAGGAATTGAAGCAGTGGAAGCAAAGGCAAAGTCATTCAAGGCCCGAATGACGGTACTTTTTATCCTTACAATATTTATTCTTTTGCGAAAAATATGCTACTGATTATATCATCTTCACGACTTCACCCAGGTTCGTTTAGCCGTAGCTGGTGCTTTTCACACTACTTTTATGGACCCAGCTGTCTCAAGATTGGAAGCTGCTTTGGCATCAACAGAATTGAGGACTCCCAGAATACCAGTTATATCCAACGTTGACGCCCAACCACATGCAGATCCAGACACGATAAAGAAAATACTAGCTCGCCAGGTGAGCCACTGACATTGTTGTGTTCCCCTGAACATAATCTGGATTACATTTTTTTAATTTTTTTCTGTTGATCTGTAATCATAGCTGACCTCTCCTGTTCAATGGGAGACGACAGTGAAGACTCTGTTAAACAATGGAGTCGAAAAGTGTTATGAATTGGGACCTGGAAAGGTAGGCCATTATCCCTCTTAAAATCTTTCGACTGTTGCCTTCATATCAAGTATTTCTAACACTAGACACATTTGGATCATGCTATCAGGTTATAGCTGGCATTGTCAAAAGAATGGACAAAAGTGCTGATGTTGATAACATTGGTGCCTAAGCATGACCACGACCTTTAGTTGCTCAGTCGCATATTTTTATCGCTTTAAGTTAATAGATGCTGAAGTTCTGATCGAGTAGGATTAGTGTGGGTCAAACGCTATTTACTAGTATCTGTAAACTGGAATTTTGAGCAGTGTAATCTCAAAGAGACGTGGTAGCCATTATACCCAATCTGGTGCAATTAAGTATCACTATTAATCGACATGAAACAGTCCTGATAATTACGTTCACAAAAGTACGTAAAGCACAAACACGGCGACATCTAACGACGTATGAACCACCAATCTAAGGTTAGTCGCAACAACAAAAAACATCAGAAACCACCGTCCTTCATTACAGAAGGGATTCTACCATTGAAGCTGAGGGAAACAACAGTTTTTCAGCAGCTGCCTTCATTACTGAGAATTAGTTCTTCAAGCATCGTATGTACATTCTTCGTAGCCTGTGGAGAAATCATACCATTAGTAATATTTTGAAAGTGTGGAATCTAAGTCCACGTTCAGGATGAAATTTGGGAGCTGAAAGATCAAATGAAAAGGCATACATTTCCAGAGGACTTACTGGGATTAGAAGTAGTGACAATGCCTGTGTCAATGAAATCACAATCAAAATCGTTGCGACCATTGGCTTGATAATATGCATTCATGGCATAGGATGCGTGCGATCTGACATTATTAGGCTCAAAGCAAATTCCACCATCCTGTATGGGCTTGCAGTCAACTCCTGATGCACAAACGAAGTCTAGGTTATTTTGCAATGCTGGATCACTTGCATCTTCTTTTGGTACACACCATTTCTTGCTCTCATCCATTGTTGGAGATGGAGCTATGGGATTCACGGTCTATAATGAAATAATCCAACATGAGTAAAAAGTTAATTATATTGAACTCAGCAAATCCATTCCTCTTTAACAAATCACAAATCACAATCCTCTACAAAATTAATATACCTGTGAGTTGCGCAGAATGCCTAAGTCGTAAACGGGTGAGAAATCGGGTTGAAAGAGCCCGAAATTACGCTCAGAGGTTCCCGGCTTTAGATTCTCATTGAAAAGCGAGAAAACGTAAGTCTCGAAAGTCCTGTTGGGCATCAACGGCGTTCCCACACCGGAATTCACATGCTGAACCAAGTTTGTATTATAAGAAACTGCATCGTCCAAGCTCACTCCCACCTGGTTTGGATCACCCGCCGAAGGCCAACCAGTTTCGGCAACCACGATGTCCACGTCATCATATCCCAGCCTCTTCATTGCTGAATAAACAGCGTCCAGTTGCCCGTCGAACATATTTGTGTAGTTCAATCCCGTGGCCTTGTCGAAAATGCCGCTGTTTGGTTTGAACAAAGCGTAATCTAGAGTTTCCTCGGAGAATCCGAAGTACGGGTACGGGCAGACCATGAATGGCGTTTTTGTTTGGCGGTGAAATTCCAACATAGGTGCGAATATGATCCGGTCGTACCCGCGTCTAAACCGACCCGAACTGGGTGGCTGGGAAATGGGTAGAATTCCAAGAGAGTGAGGTGTTGAGACTTGAATATCAGTGATTTGAGCGAGTTTGAGAGCTTCGTTCATGGATCTCATGGCTGGTACGAGGTGGGCTATGAGGTATTTGTCCCCAGTGGCTAGGATTTCATTCCCAACGGCTATACGATGAATTTTGGTGTCAGGGTAGAAAGGGAGGACGTTATTCGCCACCCATGTTTGGGCGGCGGGGAGCTTCGAGATGTTTACAATGTCGCCGTTGGCGACGGAGATGGTGAGCAAAATTCCGGTGTTGGCAAAGGCTCGAAGAATGTCGGGGTTAGCGTCGAAGATTTTGACTCTGTCAATGGTGGTTTGGTCTTTGATGAAAGCAGCCACTTGAGAGGGCGGTGGGAGGTTGTCAGCCACCGTGCCATAGTTGACGCCGATGGTATACTCCGCCGTGGACAGTTGGTGGGTGAAAAAGATAAAGAGCGAGATTAAACGAAGAGCGTTGAAATGGCAAGTAGCCATGTAGCTTTTAGGGCGCTCCTGAGTTGTGAGATTCTTGAAAATGAACGTGAAGTGCAGGGAATCTGAAGAAGAGGGATACAGTAGAGGCTGAAACGTGGTACAGAAACTGGGGACAGTTTGAGAGAGATGGTACGAGGGAGTGGCAGAGTGGCTTTTTTATTTGTTTTTCCCAGTTCATCACTTACTAGGGAGAATTTTACTGAAAATCACCGAAATTACCATGAATGAAGTGAAGTAGCCAAATCGAAAAGGTTTCGACTTCCGATTACTAGAATCCAGATTGACCCGTTCAATTTGATTTTAGAACAATGCTACGTATATAACACATGAATTACAATATTGAGTTACAGCCTCTCACAAGGGAGGTGTGCCTCGCGATTAAAATAATAGGGCCCCACCTCCATTGTGAGATGTTGTAACCTAATATTGTACAAGGAGCATTATTCTTGATTTTATCACATTATAGTATCAAAAATCCTACTTGTACAAAAATTATTTTACAAAAAAGTTGACAAACTCTCACATGATGGCTGGCCCCACATGAATAAAAATTTTCACAAAAAAATGTGGGCCCCCCTATTGTGAGCGGGCCGATCAAGGTGTTTGTCACCCATAGCCAGTACATATAGTGCTGTTCTTATAGCATAGACTTTTAAATTTACTTTTAATTACACATTTTTCAATAAAAATTTTTTACATATAAATCTACAAGCATTTCATATTTTTTAATCATGTATTTTTAAAAAATATCACTTTTCACGAAATTTACATCAAATATGCCCTTAGTATTTGAAAATAGACATTCAAGTACTAGATTTAAGATTGAACGATTCAATTTGATCCTCAATTTTAGTATTTGGAACTACAAATTCAAAATGAGACAAACTTTAAATTTTAAAAAATATTGCACCAATCATATTGAAGTATTACCTTATTTAAAATAATTTTGTGTCCACTTCTTTTCGTGAGAAGTATTAGATGAGCTGGCTGAAATTCTTTCGAAAATTATGCTTGTTCAAGAATTAAAATGGATTTTTAACTCTGAGAAGTTGCTCAATTGGTTAGGCCTTGAGTTTGCTCCCTAATGGTCATCAGTTCGAGTCCCCTCAGGGCCACTGAGGTGAGTACCCGGCCGTAAACTTCAGGGTCCCGTGGAATTAGTCGAGGTGCGCGCAAGTTGGCCCGAACATTCACGGTTATAAAAAAAACAGAATTAAAATGGATTTTCTAATCATGAAATTGAAGGTTCAGTCTCATAATTACAATTGGAACCAACTATGCCATTCACTAATTTTCATTGATTCTCGACTTGGTTTGATTCTATTGAAAAATTGGACAGTGTCCGCCCTTAAATTTACAATTTTGCTTCATTTTGATTTAAGAGCATGTTTGGATGTTAAGCACGTTTTAAGCACCCCAAAACATGCTCTATTAATTTTAATCTACTTTTATAAGAAAGTCTATCAACTTATATTGTTAGTTTAGTTCGAGCTGATTACACGTATGACCTAATATTTATGTGACGTTAAATCGGTGGTTTCGCCAAAAATTAGAACTCAAATAACTGAATTAAGTGTCATGTTATGATCGACAATTAATTTTGTTTAATTTACAAACACAGTGATCAAAACTGAAACAAAAAATATAAGATGGGAGGGATCAAATTGAAATAGATTAAAGTTGACTAACCAATACGAAACAAACTTGCAATCGAGTAACCTTGATTGAAATTATTGCTCATTATAAAAGTTTTTCATTCCATCAAAATCAAATATTAATTTCAAACACACATTTAAATTACTTCTTATTTATTAATTACACATTTCATGAGACTTATAACTGAACACTCATGTTGTTTGATGTATATGAATATGGTAATTTTTGTCCAGAGTAATGATATTATAACACCAGTTTAGGGGACATTAACATTTAATGAGAGACATAATATATTTCTGGATTAAATAACTCGTACACAGAAAGTGTATATCTTGATTGACACTACTTTATGTCAAAAATTTGGCAGTTGGATGAAAAATATATCGACAATATCAATCTACCAAAATCGTCGAGATCAATGTACCAAAATTTGCCAACTTATATGGGTGTAAACATATGTGTCAACATTTATATACATGTAACATAGTCTTAAATTGTTTCACATAATTGTACATTTAGTTGAATCAATTACGCTAGATATAATTTTAATGTATATCTTCCCTTACATTCTTCCTATGTGGTATAATTTACACACAAAAGAGAGATTGTTGCAGAAATCAAAAGGGATGAAGGTGTCATGTGCCAGAGTGTAAAAGAAGGTGTACACAAAAGTGTATATGTAGCATGGCCGTAATTGAATTTATGACATGGTATCACCTACTATGATGTTATACTATTGTGGGAAAGGTTATTCAAACAGGGTAAGAGACAAGGGGGAAAAGGTGTATCTGTCAGCACCTGTTTCGATAAATTTTTTTTTCTTTTTTAAAAAAAAGGACTATCGAATCAATGAATAACATGTGTCTCACCTGTTTTTCTATCTGTCACTGACCGTGTTTTTGTAACAAAACTCTTCTTTTGTACTGATGTTATTATGCTTTTGTCCAATTATGTACGTAATGTTGATTATTTATCCACCACCAGCCTAATTCTTGCGATGATATTTCCAGTGGAGCTTTGGGATGGGAAAACAGTTGCTGCAATCAAATACCATCTAGTACTCGGATGACGTTGGAGTTCGAAACGGATTCCAATCGAGTGAAAACTTTTCTATTGCTAGCCATTATTATTTTTATTTAGAATAATACTCTCCATTATTGCTAGTACATTGGTCAATATGATCTTGATATGAGCAATTAAATGAATATTTTGATTTTACATTTACGATGTGTTTGAGCCTCATTATTTTGGAAGAATATATTTTATAATAGTAGATTGATGGAGAATGTGTGATTGAAAAAGAAGGAAAAGTTATTGATGTGATGAAAAATATTATTTTTTTTTAAGAATGTGTGGTTGAAAATGAGTAGAAAAATGAGAATAAAAATTTTAATATATGTCAAACAGGGGCTTAAATGACTATATCTTTTAATGACATATAATTGTCACTTAAACTACTGGTAAGCACTAATTGTCATAAATAACATTAATCTTTTTTTAAAAAAGAAATATGTTACATCTACCGGTTTAATGACATATTCAAAAAACGAACAACAAGTGTCAACATATGATTACATAGTTTGGAAGGAAAAAAATAACAACAATGCTATTTCACCACTTTAGGTGACATGGTGGGTGACAGGATGATGTGGAAAGGAAGGGAAATTCAAAATGAAAACAAAATCCAAATGAAGATGGGTGGGCCATAATTAGAAATCGGGTCAAGCCCATATAGCACTCCTAATGGTAAATGAAAACAAAATCCGAAATGAAGCGAGCAAACCCAATTTTTTTCGCGGTAAAGACTCTGAACTCATCATCCGGAAAAGAAGCTGGAATCCATATTCTTTGATTTTAAACCCAATTTTTGTCACAGTAACTTCACTTAGCTCATCATTCGGAGAAGAACACCAACTGGAAGCGGAGAACACCATCTGGAAGCGGAGAACACCTGCTGGAATTCGTATTGTTCGATTTTAGTTCGCGCAACTTCAGTGAACTCATCAAGAATAGAAGAACATCAGTTGGAATTGGAGAACAACACCAGCTGGACAGAATTCGTGAAGATGGCAGAAAAGGGTAATCGTATTCATTTCTTAATTTTTTCAGATAATGCATGAGTTGTTCAGCTATTTGGATATGGACATGGGCTAAGCTAAGCTTCACCTCTATTGTTAAAGTCGTATCATTTGGGTTGGCTTATGAGTTGTTTAATTTTTTTGGTTGTTTAATTTTTGGCTGATTCATATAGTTGATGAGAAAGATGACGAATTAGATATAACAAATTACTTTAGTGTAGCAAATGTATTTTTTAGTTCAAAGTTCAAGTGTTATGAATTTCATATGGTTTTGGCTGCCACCCTTACACGAAATAAATTGAACATTATTGCAAGTTTCAATTATGGTTTTAGAAATGATTTCATTGTCATCTGTTGTTTGACATTATAATTGATTACTATGTTGTAGGGAAAGAAATCTCAGAATTTGTGGATGATGTTATTTTGGTGGAGTCCGATAACGACTCTGCTATTGAAAATATGAATTTGATGGTTGACGATATGGTAGGGGGAGATATTGTGAAGGTGCCTGAGGTGGGTATGAAGTTTGATGATGAAAATGAAATATTTGAATTTTACAAAAGATATGCCTACGACATAGGCTTCCCAGTTAGGAAAAGGAACTCGAAAAAGGACGATGGTCGAGTATTGGGATATATTATATTTGTTTGTAATTGAGAAGGGAACAAAATAAGAAATAGAAGCAGTACTTTGAAGCCGCAACCAACCATTCAGAGTGGATGTAAAGCCAGGATCACTGGATCTTTAGATAGTCGTGGAGTATGGAGAACTAACACAGTACACCTCGAGCACAATCACAGCACAAGTCCTACGAAATCAAGGCTATATCGATGCAACCGAGAATTGAGTGCACATGTGAAACGGCGTCTTCAGGTAAATGATATAGCAGGAATTTCGTTGCACAAAAGTTACAACTCTGCTATCGTTGAAGTTGGTGGGTATGAGAAGATGACTTGCATCGAAAAGGATTGTTGAAACTATGTTGCACAAATTAGGCGTTTAAGACTAGGAGAAGGAGACGCCGCAGCAATTCAATCATACTTTTCGAAAATGTAAGCACGGTGCTCAGGCTTTTACTTTAGTATGGATTTGGATGAAGAGTTGCAATTAAAGAATGTTTTCTGGGCAGATAATAGGAGTAGACAAGCGTATAAGGAGTTCGGAGAAGTTGTCACATTCGACACCATATACCTGACTAATAAATATGACATGCCTTTCACCCCTTTTGTTGGCGTGAATCATCACGGACAATCAACACTCCTTGGATGTGGTTTGTTATCAAATGAGGATACAGATACATTTGTATGGCTATTTAGGACATGGTTAGAGTGCATGCACGGCCAAGCTCCGAATGAGATAATTGCAGATCAAGACAGGGCTATGCAAAATGTAATTCATTTAGTTTTCCCGAACACGTAGCATAGATGGTGTTTGTGGCATATTTTGAAAAAATTGCCAGAAAAGTTCGAATACCACATGGATAAGGGTTCAATATTTGCAACTATTCACGAATTGGTATATAATTGTCAATTTGTTGACGAATTTGAAATAGGCTGGGTAGCGATAATCGAAAATTTATATGATAATGCATGGTTGTCTGGGCTATACAAGAACAGAGAACGTTGGGTTCCGTGTTATTTGAAAACTTCATTTTGGGCAGGGATGTCAACAACGCAACACAGTGAAAGTATGAATGCGTTCTTCGATGGTTACGTACATTCAAAAACTACGTTGAAGCAATTTGTTGAACAATACGAACGAGCGTTGAGAAGTAAAGTGGAGAAGGAGTTTCAAGCAGATTTCAAGTCTTATTCGCAAATGGTACCATGTGCAACGAGATATGAAATGGAGAAGCAATTTCAGACAGTATACACAATTTCGGAATTTAGGGAGGTTCAAGAAAAGTTTACGGGCAAAATATATTGCGATCTCATATCTGCTTCAGAGGGGTTTATGGGAATGACGTATGAGGTACGCGAGGATGTCATTGTTGACGAGTTCTCTAACAAAAGAACAGTTTCCATCTCATTTCAAAGAGAAAATTGTGAATTCACTTGTAGCTGCCACCTGTTCGAGTTTCGAGGGATTATTTGCAGACATAGTATTGCAGTTTTGATCTGGAATGACGTGAAAAAAAAGTGCCCGAACAATATATACTATGGCGATGGCGACGAGATGTGAGTAGAGCACACTCAAGGGTTGCAATAAACTACAACGGTTTGGTTAGTACTCCAGGACAGTTGATGTATGATAAAATGTGTCAGAGTTTTGCTACGTTGGCAGGCATTACTACAGATGATGCAGTACGAACTGGTCGTATACTTGATTGGATCGACATGCAATGTAAACATATTATTACGTCGAAGTCAAGTTGTCGTAGTAATAGTGTGCTCCCACATATTAGGCAGACAACCATTGGACATGGTTCATCATAGGACGATGGAAATGTTATCGCGCGAGATCCAGAATGTGCGAAAAGAAAGGGTGCACCTAGGAAACTTCGAAAGAAGAGTCCATTGGAATCACATTCAAACAAAGTTAGAGTCATTCCCAACATTTTGTTTAACAAAAGTAAAGTAATAGTGTTACTATGCTATATAAGATAATAACAAATAATGTTTTGTAGGTACCTTCAAGTTCAAATAAAGTCAAGAGACTGAAGGCCCGACCAAGTAATGTGGGAGATGCTGTGACCATCTATCAGGGTGGAAACGAATGTCATCAATTTAGGCAACAGTTACATACTTCCAGTTTGATCAATCCATCGTCAACGAATCCTATAGTGAATCCACAAGGTAAAGTAAGACGAGACCAACTTTAATGTAGTTGCTTGACTTATTCTATCAATCTCATATTATAGTTGGTTGTTTATAGGTTGGGATATACAACCAGTGCATGATGTAGGACCTTCCTTTGCATTAGGTGTTGGCAGTGGAAGACCAACTTCAAGTTTGGATGAAGGAAGAGAGTTTGTAATGCACCTGTAGATGTAGGACCTTCCTTCACATTAGGTGCTCAGTCTGAGGCATTTGCAGTGCAAAGTTTTTTTGTTAAGCAAAATTTAGTATGGATTTTGGATCAAGATGTTGCATCGAAGCTTCTATATATTTGTTGATACTATGTCTTCCTCTTTTGTCTTGTTTATTGAGATTTGATTTATGAAATAACAGTTTTTGGGAGAAGAAGTTGCTTTTTTGTTTATATTGCAAATTCTGTTGTTTGGTTATGAATCTACTTATCCATTGACATATTATCATTTCTAATGTTTTGGGAAACCAGTGGATGCTATCAGATAGATCAGTCCATTTTGTATAATGTTGATGGTGAGGATAAAAATTACTTTGCTCAAGTTATTTCAAGCATTACTGATGTTAATTTCATTGATGAGGATAACATTACAGACGTTCACTTCATTGCCAAACTCTACTGATGATCTTCAACAATATATTCAGTTCTGAATTCATTACTGCATTTCAATGAACACATACATCACAGGAGAATTTCAATTTCAGTTAAGTGAGATTAAAACCATTGAAACAGGGTTGAGTAACTCATCTTGGCAGTGGAGTTTTTGCAATACCCATACACGACAATTGGTATTCTCAGTAACTCAGCGGCACATGGCAATTTTGGAAAACACTGAAATAGCACTTTACATTTTGGAAACAATGAACTGCTAACAGAAGTTAACACTCAGTACATAGTGGAATTCCAAATGAAATTATTTACAAGAGTTAAGCATCTGATTCAATCTACATTCCTAACTACGATTTCACATACTACCCATTGGTTAATCACTAAGCACAAGCCAATATTTACAGCGTTCAAAATTTGATCTCCAAATTCAATCTGGGCAGACCTAACTACAATTTCATTAAACCCTCCAAATCTAGCTTGCTTTTTCACTGCTTATTTTCACCGTCACAGATATCTCAACTTCTTCTCCTTCATCAGTTACACGACAATGTGATTTCAACAACCCCGATAAATCTTCAGCGATTACATTCGCCACATTAATGGACCTAGATACACCACTCGTTTCACCCTCTTTGACCCACTCCCAAAAGTCACAGTTCACGCTGCAAGTGTTGAATAACCTACCTTGGTTCTTCGTTTTTTTTCCACCTCAAAACACTTCAAGAAGCTCAGATTGCACCGTGGACAGGGGCATCTGTTCGAGCATTCCGCAAAAAAATGTCCCTTGCTTCGACAGCTATGGCACACTCCATAGTTCTTTCCTCTCATTGTTAGCTTGAATTTGTGCCGTTGGAGAAGATGAGTAAATGTAGAAGGAGGGTTTAGCTGGTTGCAGCTTCGATTTAGAGGGTTTCGGAGAGGGTAAATGGATTTGAGAAATAGGGGTTAAGCATTTCAATTAGGTTCGGATGGTGGTGGCCGGTGGGTGAAACGGGTTAAGCATTTGGGCCGGATCAGTCAAATTTTAAAATGCATTTCCAATTCAAAAATTTTCAGTCAACAATTTCGACCGCCACATCATCTGCCACGTCATCCTGTCAACGCCCATGTCAAGGCCTTCTGGTAATGTAGCGTGATTGAAAAAATAAACACTGCCACCCTAACCCATCATCCCTTCCCAATCAAAAATCTTTGTTCAAGGAGCATTATTCTTTTTTAAATTTCTTTCTTATATTTCTTCGAAATCAATGATTTTATTGGTCAATTTAATTATCTTTAATTCATTTGTGATTTACAAATAAATGGAATTTTTATTTTTTATTTTTGTAAATTTTTAAGTATTAGTAAAATTAACATGTTTTTAGACTTATTTTCCAATGATTGTATATATTCCTAAAATGGATAGATATTACTCCTTTTGTGTTCAACATTATATTCATTATTATATTACTTTTTATCGATTCGTCAACTTGAAATAAAACTGAGAACGGTCAAATCATATGCTCCTCTTTGATTTATTTATATTTTTTATTTCCCATATTAATAAATATTCCGCATTGTAGTAATTTAAATTTCAATTAAAAAATGTAAATCACTTCAAAATTCAATTGAACCTATCTCCACTTAAATCCAAAATCGAGGTTCTCATATTTTCATCTTTTAAGTAGCTCTGTTATTTTTCAAAAACCAACGTTGCTCTTTCTTTGCACTCGCCAACTAAATTCATCGAGTGAAAAAAATTAAAATAAAATCCATAACTTTACACGTGAATTCATAACTTTTTTCTACTTTTTAATTAAAATTCTTAAAGAATAATTCACATTATAAAATATTTATTTTCAAAAAATCTATATCAAACGGGTCCTTAGAAATCGAGTACATTGTAATTAAAATAAATAAAATAACTATTTTTCTTTACATAGTACAAATCGTGAAGTGAAAAACTGCTGTGTGGTACCTAGACAAGTAAGGAGTCATTCTTGGCTGTCATTTGATCATTTGGAGTAGAAGATCATTAATTTGCAGGCAGTCCTGCAATTTCTTTGAGTGGTTTCCACATAAATTTTCTCCTGCAAATATATGAATTTGATCAAATGATTCTTAAAATGATTAGAAGGTAAATGTTAAAGATGTGCAAAAACAAAAGAGAACAGAAACTATACCAGTTTCCACATTCTGCTATCACCCTCACTCTAGGCCTTAATGAGGGAAGTAATGCAAGAAACTGCAATTCTGCCTTTGATAAAACCTAGCCAACATCGAATTCGCAAAATTTAACATCATCGAACAAACCGCGCGTTTTTTAATCAAGTGAAGCGATACAAAATTGATCAAAGTTATCGTTACCTTGGCTTCAATTATCCAAACCACTAGTCCTTTGGCGTTTGGTGGAAGCAAAGAGAGCCTGTAATCAACTTCTGGTGGGAAATACCATCTGGCTATAGGCTGTTTCCCTACGTGAGCCTGAAATATACTAACGGTGTATTAATTCTACGTTCGATTAGAATATCATACTTGGGTTACACGCGTCAATCGCTTACAGGGCAAACAGGGTGAAACTTGGTGAGAGTGGCTTCGGGATCACCAAGGCCGCGTGCTGAGAGGTCCAAGAAATGGTAGCCTTGGTACCTCAGCCGGTTGAGGTACCGGCCGTCGTACCCACCTTCGTGCGGTGAGTAGATAGCTAGAGCTTTGTGCTCTTCGACGTCTGAGGTAGCCTTGGTACCTAAGCCGGTTAAGGTACCGGCCCTCGTACCCACCTTCGTGCGGTGAGTAGATAGCCAAAGCTTTGTGCTCTTCGACGTCTGATGACCACTGTCCCAAATCAAATTTTACAAGATCTCCTCCAATGAAGTCCTCTATTCCTATGCTACATCTCACCACTGCCAGGTGCCTGCTTTTTCCTTTGGACGATCCCTTCTTTTCAATTGTCACTGAACTACTCGTCGAACTGTAAAATGAGAGATTTTGACGTAGACGAGTAACTGAAGGTAGCACCGATCCGTGATATGTGTAGGCTGCAGCTGCCATTTCTGTTCAATGTTCTATCTACAGCATTAAAAGAGAGGGTGCCATAAAAAAATTAGATGAAAATTGAAGCGAGGAGAATGAAGACCATATGATGGAGAAAGAAGATAAGAGAGCATATCCACACCTGTTTTGTGGACTCTAAACTAAGATGGAATCAGCCCCAGCTCCCTTGTTTTTCTATAGTTATTTCCTTGAAAAAGCTTTCTACAAAATTGGTTGGTCGAAATCTTATTTCAAATTTTGACCCGTGCAATGGAACATAGTGTTATTCAAATTATTCGCTACCACACGGATTTGGTTCTACAAAAAATAATGTTATATAACACCAAGCTAAGTAGCAACATATGCGCATTATAAGTCATCATTTGACAACTCTTAAAATGAGTCTTTGAATTGTAATTTTTTGAAGAATTTGCAGTTAAAAAATAGAAAAAAATTGGATTAACGTGCAGAATATTTAGTATGAAAATGTGTAATTGAAAATGTAATTGAAAATGAATTCGAGAAAAAAAAGGAAAGAGTTTTATTTCAATGATGGTTAGATAGATGTGATGAAAATAAAAAAGGTTTACCAAAGGGAAAAATCATTGTTAAATGTGTTTGCATCTCCAATTAGTGCTACTTGTGACAGTTTCTCCAAGATGAAAAAACCCAATAAATTTTAATGTAAATCACCTACTTTTGTTAAAAAATTCAAATATACCTCCATCTTTTTTCTTAGCCATTGTTTGGTCCTTACTATTTTCAAAATATATTTTTCTCTCTTATTTTAAAACTATATATTCTTGAATAAAATAATATTGCACGCAAATTCAAAAAAATTTCATATTTCTTAACCACACATTTTTCATCAAAATACTATTCTAAAATACATTTTGGGCAAAAAAGACCCAAACAAACTCTTATCATAATTATCCATTTTTATCAAACCTTTAACAAAATTCACCCAAATTTTCCCTAATCATTCAAATACCATCCAAACACCATCAAACCCCTAAATCCATTCTTACAAATAGGGATGGCAAAAAAACTCACCGGCTCGAGCACGGCCAGGAAAAGCCAGAGTTGACCCTACTAGGGCACGGTTCCACCAAGCCGAGGCTTGGGTCGAGCCCCATTTTGGGGCGTCGAGCCACACGGGCCGTTTCGACCCATACGAGCTGCCCTTTTTTTTAAAAAAAAAAAAAAAAGAAAAAAATTAAGTTAAGCTAAAATGCAGGCAGCTAACAAAAAAAAAGGATCCGACTCATCCCGCTAAGGCTCGAGCCAAAAGCTTGGGCCGAGCCTCATTTTTTGGCTGAGCTTTTGCTCGACTCGGGCCCAAAAATGTTCGGACCTATTTTGCTCGAGTCGAGCCCGAGCTTTGAGATTCGGCTCGTGGCTCGACTCGGCTCATTGACATGGCTACTCGAGAGTTTATTATCTATCAATTCTGAAAGTTTTTTAAAAGAATAAAATTATATATGTTCCTTAGCAAAATTTTCTTTTATATGAAATTATTTTACTCATGACTAATATTTTACTTATAGATAAAAGATAAATCTAGAAGACAATATGAGATAATACCAAAATCCGTCGATTTGGTGGGTTGAGAGAATTGTTTAAAATTAAACCACACCAGTTTTGGATGATTTTTAAACCATCCAAAATCGATACACAAAAAAATAGCAGGCACTGATTTTTCCAACTCCTCATAAACAGTACCACCAAAAATCGATCAAAACTAGTGGAAAAAAAACTCCCAAGCAGGCCTTAAGGTGTCAAATAGGTTGGACCGATAGTCATTTAGGATGGTTTGATGTAGGTTGTTCTTGAGTCAATTTGACTTGCATTTTATGCATGCAAGATCTGGCTTGTTTTAGATGCCATGCTAGGTGAGCCATCAAGTGTAATTGTTTTATTTTAAACATTAGAATATTAATAGTTGTTCCCATGACTCTGACTTGTTTTGAAAGGAGGTTCTCCTTGAATGTGAATGCCTCAACTCAACTTTACACTCCAAGGTATATCTCATTTAGTTAGAATGACTTGTCTAAAATTTTTGAATTGTCACTTTTTATGATCTAGTTCTTTTCTGTTATTCATCCAACTATTCAGACATCTATCTCTACTATAATGTAGGATAAATTCCGTTGAATAAATCTTTTTAATAGATATATAGAAATTAGCTAAAAGAAATAACGAAACAAGATTTTATCTAGCAGACCATATATTTATTAGGATCCATAAAATTTGGTACATTGATAATAATGTAAATTTTATTTATATACTTCTCGTTAACAAAATCTGAAAAAAAAAAAAAATTATCTACACATAACATTAAAATAATAATAAGATTATGACTAGCCGACAATGATTCTTTCTCACCGCGCGCCGGCCGCCCTCAGCCGTACCCAGACGGACGAATATTCATTTACGAGAAAACCCGAAACCATTAGCCAGTGCATGGGCGGTAGGATTGAATGAAAGGCGCCCCAGAATGCCTTGCTTGTATGGCAAGAAGGTTTTCTTCTTCAATTCTTCTGAAACTGCACGATTTTCTCTGTAATGCAATTCATGAGCTGAAACTTTTCCTCTTCTACTTGAATTTGATCCAGAATCCTGGCTATCCATTCTCCGGAAATTCAAAGTCTTAGCATCTTCATATGCTCTTCTGAACCCTGCTGTGTATTTCCTTAAAGGATCTTTATCTGCTGCTCGTCCTTCAGATGCGCTTCGGAACAAAAAAAAGTCCTTCAATCTCCATTTTCTGTGAGATTTTGAGGATAAAGATGAGCACAAAATCTTTGTATTCTGCTGTTTCTTCTCTTCTTGATCCCGTGAATTTTGATCAGAATCTCTCACAGGAGAAAGTGAACGCGTTGCTCTTCGGCTTGATGAAGACAAACCTATTGCAGGAGCTCTCTCTCTTCCTCTTCTTTGCTCCGCCGAAGCTCTTTGAGAAGCGATTGCAAAAGGGTTGGCCTCTTTCTTATGTCTTGGTGAGTAATCACCCTTAATTCTTGCTCCGGTGGGAGCTTGCAGCCGCGATGGGGGCTTCAGGGGCTTAATTAAGCCACCGTCAAACAGTTCCTCCGCTGAAAGAGACGCCTTCTCCGATGACTTCTCACCAATATCAAAAGCAAAATCACCTTCACTCTTAGGGGAACTGAACGGCACCTCCGACGAGACTCCTCTGCTGCGGTTCGAGAAACGATCAAAATCACGATAAAACTGAGCCAAATGCGTCGGACTTGTCGGAGCACTGCAATAGAATTCCCCAAAACGCTTGGGCGATGAAGGTGCACTGACATGTGGACTGTTAAAATCAAAATCCATGTTGTTTACAGGGGTAATCACTTCCATTTCCATTGAGTTTTGTTTCTGTATAATTAATGGACAAAGCAAAACAGACATGTAGGGTGTTGTATTTATAGAGAGGAGCAGAAGAAATTGATGATTTATTGTTGGCCTAATTGATAAACCTGCAGCTATTTATGACACTTCACGAAAATTCTGATTTTTTCAAGAAAATTGCATCAATGGCCCCAGATAAATATTGGTAGTGGGACTGTAGTCCCCAAACCTTTTTTAAATAGGTGCAAATTCAGGCATGATAACTGCTCCCTTTTGTCTCATCGTGAGTAATTAAAAGCAGGATTAGGGTGGCAATGGTCTGTAATGATCGCCTACTCG